TCAATAAGCATACGGATAAACTATGGTAGATCTATATGATGGAGTATTATTCAGTGATAAAAACTAATTTGGTATCAAGTCACAAAAAGGCATTATACACAGCTAAGAAACTGGATTGAAAAGTCTAAATATCTAACTATATGGCATTTTTCACATAGCAAAACTAGGGAGACAGAAAAAGATCTGAGGTTACCAAGGGTGGGCTGGGAGGGAAAGGATGAATAAGTGAGCACAAACCATTCGTAGGATGGTGAACCTATTCTGTACCACACTATTGTGATAAATTATGAATCTGACAAAAGCCTAAGAACTGTATGACACACAGAGTGAACTCTAATTTAAACTATGGACTTTAATACTATTATGTTAGTAGTTCATTAATTGTATAAGAGCATAATGTAAATAATAGGGGAAACTATGGGAGGGAAAGCAGGGTATATCAGAAAACTGTACTTTCTGATCACTTGCTCTGTAAAACTAGAACTATTTTTTTAAGTGTAGATTAAAAAATACATTAAGTAAAATGTCCCTTTTACCTACTTTAAATATTGAAGTTCTGGATGAAATTTTCCCGAGAATTGTTTTTGGCAAGATATCTGTGTAAGATTTTTGGCATTAAATGGTGAAATCAAATTCCTTAGATTTTGACAGATCTTTCAAATGCCACCTTTGTTGCTTGCTGATTATGTGCCCTCAGACAAGGTTTATACCTACAAAGCCATTTTTTATCTGTTAAAATGGAAAAAGTGCCTTTCTCACAGGTCAAATGTTTTAGATAAAAGTATATAAAGCACCTAGCCAAAAAGTAGGCATGTAATGTTTGTTTTCTTTCTCCCTCATTTGCCATAAAATCCTAATTCAAGTAAGACAGAATATATCCTACCTAAAACCACTGTTTTTCAAAGGTATTTATAGCCTGAGAGGTACACACAAGCATTAAATACTTTGTGTCTTTCTGGAGCTCAATTTATAATTTGGGGGAGCAAAGCTAAATATTTAACTGGCAAATTAAAACACTGCTATGCCAACACAATATTGCTTTAGTGAAGTATTTGCACTGTATTTCAAGAAGCAACCTGAAATTATGCTTGAATTAGAATTTAGACCACATTCTCAGACATCCAGAGCTATTCTTTACCATCTTTGGCTGTTTGGGATATATCCCAAACATTTCCACTGAAGCACTGCCTTTCTTTTCTCATTTTAATTATGTTATTAAATACAAGTTAATTTTTTTTTTCAAGTGAACAACCTTCTTTATTTATACCTTTTGGACCTAATGGCAGACACCAAGAAAATACAAGTTAATTTTCTTCTTAATGTCAGTCACATGTCAACAGTTTGGCTCCACTGGGCCTGGTTACCCTTAAATTAGCAAGGACAACCTGAAAAATAACATTTTACATTACAGAAGTCATTTAATATGAAATGTATAGTTGTCAGAACTAAGCAAATACAAAAATAATTGAAATAAAAATTGTACTTTTTTACTATGATTTCTCAAGGTTTTAGCTGTTAGCTTGGGTTAATTTTTTTCTTTTCCACTAAACTGTGCACATCAGTCTTTTACATAACCAGGCTACTTACCTAAATTTTAGAAACAAAAATATTTTGCATATCACTGTGTAACATTTTTGCCCATGGGAATCTCAATGTGCATAAAATCAAGCACCTTACTGGATAAATATGTAAGAATAAACATATTTTTTTGTTTGTTTGTGAGCCAATACTCACAAAACTGGCATGACTATTCCAAGGCCAAACACACCTAAACTGTGTTGGCTCAGTGTCACACATTAAGAAAAACTATGATAAACTAAAGCATGTCCAGAGAATACCTATAAAACGTTCAAGGATTTCAAAACCATGCTACATGAGTAAAAACAAAAAAATGGAGGTGCTTATGTATAGGAAAAATCCTGGGCTTATAAATGATGGGGTATTAACAGCCATCAAATACCTGAAGGTCGTCAAATTTGAAGACCATCTGACTTGATATATGTTGTCCAGAACTAGGCAGTAAAATACAGGTAAGTACAAATCTCTGAGCTTGCAGTCAAGAGACTTGAGACCTACAGACATGTTACCAACTATGTGGTATTAGAAACGTGTGTGATATTCCTGGATATCAATTATCATGTATGTAAAATGGCAGTGCTAAACTAAATCATTTCTAAGGTATTTTCAAATTAAAAAATGACAAGGAAGCAAATTCTCGATCAACTTCTTACCATTAGAGCATACTGAACATGGAGTAACCTATCTCATTAATCAATGAGTTCTGCCACTAGTTCACATCATTATCATTTGCTCTACATAAAGGCAAAAACAGAATAGACAGCAAACTGATTTAAGTAAAAGCCAAATATCCACAAGCTGTTGTTCTTAGAAAAAGAAGTAAGAAATAGGATGAAGATTATTGTGTTTTCTAGTTTGCCATGTTGTTCTTAGAAAAAGAAGAAATAGGATGAAGATTATTGTGTTTTCTAGTTTGTCATGTATTGAGTAAAGTACACTAGTAATTTAATTCCAGGAAAAAATCCAAAATCACTTTTCTAGTTCATCTGTACTGAATATTAATTTTTGTTTCTAGATATACTAAATACTATGCTAACACTTGAATCTTTGAACTTAATATTCCTTAATAGAATAACAGTATGTTTTTCTCTGAATATCTTAGCCAACAATATTATTTCTTAATCCTTAATATAACAGATGCCCTTGAGTTATAATATAAGTAATGTTTATAAAATTCAAGTTAATTCTCAAACCAAAGAAAAAATTACTCAGTACAGCTACTGCTTTCTAAGTTATAGTATCATTTAATAAAAATAGGCATATACAGCAAAAATGAAGCCAAGCAATAATCTCATAGAATATGTACTCAACTTTCCATGCAAAGTTTATTTTAATACTGCAAAATTAATACTAAATTAAATATGAATCACAAATACTAAGAGAACAAGGGTAGGATATGCCTTGGAATATAGGAGGCCAAGTGCACAAAGGGTACAATGTCTGGATATATGTTTCTAAGTGTATTCCAAAAAGTCATACAAAAATAAATTTGTGGTTTATCCATTTCTCTTCTCTGGAAGAGACTTTTGAAGAAAAATAGTTTCCTAATTCTGTATGTCTGAAAATCGAAGGGTATCTGTTCATTTCATTGAACACATTTGAACATTTTTCTACCTATGCCATATCTTACCTCTTGAGTAGAGATCCCTTTGATCGTAATTCCTGCAACTCCGATGCATACTTCAAAGTTCCCTAACATTTTTACTAAAGTAATCTAATTACTTTAGATGTACACATTAATGGAAAAAAACTTAAGAGCACATGTGCTTATTTTTGGAAACACAAATCTTTCACATTTGAGGACTAAGTTAATGTGAAATCTTTTTAATGAGAAAAATACCTGAATAAAAAGAACACAAGAAATTGCTTAGGACATCTAAGCACTGACATTTTGCTCAATTGTTTCAACACAGCAAAATAAAATAAGATCTGTGTACATATTTACAATAAGCTAAAATGGTCAGTACTTTGCCAGTCACACTACTTATGTGACATTTACTTTTTTAAACAGAAGCTATTAAAAATAAAACCTGTTTCCTTATTAAAGAACAAATAAAACAAAATTTTATACTATAGTTAATTCAATGATGCTGGTGAAATAATAAGCCTTATGTTCTTATACCTCAAGGATATAAATGTAAGCCATGTTTAACATTCTGTATACTTTTATTTTGAAATTATTGACAGTGTAGAGAAGAGCCCATGTAATAAAAAATTAATTTGAAACTCATTTCACCATTATTTCTACAGTATGATTAAAGCTTCTTGTATAGGACTTTTATTTAATCCCCCACACCCACCCTTTTATACACATAAAATTAAGACATAAAACTTTTTGTATTCAAGTAAAAAAATAGTCTTCCACTGAAATATATTATATCCATAAGTCTTTTAACAGCTTTGATTCTAAAAAAACTTTATCCAGAGAATCTTTTCTCATCTTTTCCAAAACTCACCAAACTAAGAAACCCAAGAATTCTAACTTCCTTTCCCATCACCCAAATACAGCAGCTATTCTAAATCATAATTACCTTTTATAAATATTTTTCTCAGAGTATAATTTCTTTGGGAGGCCAAATTATTTCATTTTAATCCACAAGTTGTCATTAATTGACCTTTTATTTCTTGCCTAGAACCCTGTCTTAATGTTTAATTTTTGGAGCCTACTTATTAAGGTTTCTTCAAATCAAAAGGGAAATAAATCCTCTTGCTTTTAGTGGACTCTGCATAATAGAAAAGGTATGTTGTTACAGTAGTTCAATTAAATTTATGTAGCTATAAAGAATCATTAAAACCAAATCTCCTTGCCCATGTTGTTTTGATAAGATTAAAAGAGACTCTGAAGTCAAGATTTCTCCTAAAATTATTTATTCAAGGAGAACACTAAAATATAAAACATTTTTCCTCTCCTGTTAACAGCTCCTATGAATTAGGTAGTCCTCCAATCACCCATTACTTTCATATATCCTTTTTCTGGGTAGAGGAACTGTTTTTTGTATGCTGTTTTATAAGGGGTTATATTTTGATCAACCTCATTTTAAAAGATTTGACCACAATACTCCTGATATTTACAATATTAACTCATGACTTTTAATGGTTTGGGAAAAACTGACATACAAAAATGGCACCTACAAAAAAGGTCAAGTCTAGAAACAAAGGTAAACTGAAGTATAATCAGGAAAATGCAAAAAATTGACTAAATAGATCACCTACTTCATACATTTGGCACTGGGTGACCCAATGAACAATCATTTTAATAGTTTAAAATTGTTTTTCTAAAAAAGATTAACATACAAAGATAGGATATATATTCATAAATTAATTAGAGGAAGACACATAAAATTAAAATACACTTAAAAGTATTATTGTAGTTTTCATTTTCTACTCCTGAAATAAAAATAAGCCATTTATCAGTAAGTGCATTTTTTTCATGGAGAAAATATTTATTAGTTTCAAATGATCACATAATACAAATATTACATAATTAGCCATTCTAGAAAAAAAGCTTATATTAATAGCCAGAAAATAGACACTGAAAAATATAGGATTGCATATTGTGACACAAAATATTAAAAAATCTGAAAAGAAAATGTATCAAATAAGAGCTTAAATAAACAAATCGGTTCACACAAATATACAAGAAGTTTCACTGTTAAATAGCTTATAGTGGCAGAAGTGAATAGAAATGCACTTACATTTCTTTTGCACACTTTAAGGAACAGAGCTAAAATTTAATCAAAGCAGGAGATTAAGGGATTAAATCACTTTTTATCTTCAAAGCTGAAATAAAAGGCTAATAATCTCACAGGCCATAAACTGCTTTGTACCATGGTTCAGAGTTCAACTAACTTAATTTCCAAACAAATTTCACTTTCAGTTCCTCTGAGTTCTTTCTTAGTTATTTGGTAATTTATATGCATTTATAAAAACTATCTTACTAACATTTAACAAAAACAAATCAAGCATAAAAAGTTGTATGGGAATTCAAAGGTCTCTAGAGAAATTTTAGTTCACATTGATCTTTTAAAGTTACTTTTAAAGTTCCATACATACAAAATTTGATTTCTAATTAGAGGGAAAAAAATAGGTCTAAATAGATAGCCAAGAAAGTCTAAAGGCCAGGCTATAATTTAGCAACTGTGGTTTCTAAAACCTTTAAAGGTTTATTAAACATTTTATGTGCCTCCATATTAACTCTAGGATTTCTCTTCTTAAAATGTATACCAAATAAAACAAACTGGCAGCATCAGGTAACTTTTAAAAACCTCTTTAATAGCTTTTAACTGACCAGTTTATTGATACCAAGAGAGAAACATTTTGATTAACTACTTCTATTAAATGGTAGTTTGGATAATTATTTTGCAATACTAATTCACATATAGTCTTATTCTAATACTAATTGTCTTTGCTCTATAAAATACCTGTTTTAGAATCATTCAAATTTTAGTATGCCTTCAATGCAGAACAATAACTGAACTTTAACAGGTATTTACTACTTTACAAGACCAACAAAATCTGCTTTGATCTCAAAAGATGTTTCTTCTATTTCTATACTAGAATTTGTTGATTTGACAAATAAGAATAAGGTTCAAGACCAAAAAAGATAAGCTCAAAGAGTGTATCCTATTATTAAAAATAATTGGGAATAAAAGTTTCATTAAGTTTTTTGGATCTCCTATACACTATGAAAAAAAAAAAGTTTGCCTGTTTCATTTAGGTGATTTTCAATCCCACAAATCTCTTTCAAGTGAAACAGATACAGAGAGCTGCTTTTTAAAAGAAGGGAGTCTCTCAAGCTTCTCTATTTCAGTCTTCTGAATAGAAAGGAATATTTCATGGCCATATAAAATTTCCCATCTGAAAAAATTATTTCATTATTTGAGCCTTTCCATTTCCAGACCAAGAGTATGCCAGAGTGAATCTGAAAGTTTGTAAATGACAAGATCAGGTGGCTCTCTCATCCTTGTGTCTTCTAGATACATTGCATGGCTCCATTCACCACTGCCTTCCAAACTGCAGGTGCTGCATGTGGGACACATATCATCCATGAAGACTCTGTTAGAAGAGTTCCTTTTGCTGAAGAAGTATGATGTTTACCAGTTGAAAGAAATCTGGGCAATTAGAGAACAAATAAACCAGTCTCCCATTATCAAGATACCTGGAGTCATAGAAGGAATCCACCAAGGAAAAATGAAAACTTGCCAAACGCACCAAGTTCACGTTCTACCCATTATAGATGATGAGAACTTCCTGGAATCAAATCCTACCCTTGGCATCAAAGAAACTAAGAGAAAACCATCTTAATGCCATGGGGAAAATCTAGGACAAGGCTCTTTTGCCACAGGTAACAATTCCTAGGGATTAGAAAACTACTTGGGAATATATTTAACATAACTTTCAGGGATATTATATCCTGAAACTTATATTCATTCATATTTATCTTATTAAAAAAAATGAAGCCTAGATTTGACAGTAAAACCATAACAGTATTCTCATTCCATCTTCTAAACGATCTAATTAATATGAAGTCCTAAAGTCTGAGGTAGGAAAAAGATGAAAAATATCTTACTAACAGGGTAGGATAACAAATGGACATCAGGCTGTGTAAATTAGAATTCAGATGTCCAACTTGCCCAAAGATAAAATACAGAAACTTAATTACTGGAATATAAAAAAGTACTTAGGTATCCACTGATACCATTTAAGGTAAGACTAAAATGGACAAACATTCCCTTTTTTAACCTGTGAACTACACAGGCATTCACCAAATCAAGTACCCGAAATCATCTACTGCTTTAATTATATGGAAGGAAAATTATTTTAGGTCTCTTTTTTGAATGGGCACTAGTTAGCATTCTTAGAGAAAACAAACAGCCCCACTTGGTTCTTACATGAACCTAAGGAGTTTACCAATAAAATTCAATGGGCAATGGAAGGACATTCCAATCTATAAATAAACCCAAGTAAATAATGGAAAGCACCCACTTGTTTATTATCCTTTCCCACTCTCTCCAGAAGCTGGATATTCTGCCTCCAAGGGTTCAGTGGAGAAAGTGGACCCCTGACGTCAAAAGCTCTCCGTGGTCTTGGCTGTATCTGTGGTTCTAGGATCACTCCTTGCACCTCTGGTAGGAGAGAAGCACTGAAATAGAGAGCTGAATATAGATTTAAGAAAAAATTCTTATTAAGAAATTACATTCTCTGGTCATTTGAGTTTCTAATGACTTATCCTCAGGATAAAAAGGAGCTACCTTTGGGCATACTTTCTTTACTGTCTTAATTTGAATTTTATAAGTCTGTCACCACAAATGATTAATTCCTCAGTAACTATTAAGAAGGGACCTATCTTGGTTTAAGCCGTGACACATTCTATGACAAACTCAACTTCAAGTGGAAGACTGAATCAAAAACTGATAAATTTTAACTGGAAACAAGAACACAATTGTCTTAAAAGGACAGGGAAAGGCACTCAACCTCATCTCAGGTATATCAAGGGAGGAGTCCCATTAATTCTTCTGTCAAAGAGAAGAAGATGGATTGAAAGGTAGAAATAGAATAACCGGCATATTAACAGCACTACTAAACCCTGGAAATTTTCTACGAATCTGAATTTGTTCTTCAGTTTTTAAGTCCTTAGTAATAGAAAGAATTAATCAGACTACAGTCCCACATTATAGCAATATAAATCTAAACCTGAGTTTTATCAAACTATGACTGCTGTCACTGAAAAAGACTTATTCTTCAAGCACTCATAATTAAAAGTGGGAGGGTAGAATAGTGGACATAGGGAATACAGAAAATCTTTTAAAAATGTGTGATCATTTGTTTTGGGGTCAAGAAGGACCAGAAAATAATCACTAATGGCTATAATGCAGAAATTAAAGCAGTAAGATATACCCAAATAACAGATGATGATAAAGATACTGGAAAATAGTTATTGTATTACAGGAATAAGGTAAATAAGAGAATGAAGTTCAAAGCACATAAGCATCTGATCAAGGAGAAGCTGAAAGGAGAATAAGATAGGCAGATATATATTTAAAGTTATAGGGACTGCAGGATAAATTTTAACAGTGGAGAACAGATCAATTATACTTAGTGGTACAGAGTGACACACTCCTATTATAGAACGGTGCTGCATATATCTACTGCAGAGAACATAGTCACACTATCCTATTTCAGGGATGTGTTATATTTGGAGATAAATTAAGGGGAAAAAATGCTATTAAGTAATCTCCTTTTCACACCGACTAGTTATTACAAGGGTTCCTTACCTGTTAGTGGAACGAGGATTGTGCTCTCTTGTTTTCTATCAATCAACCAACAAAGGTTATAGTCTCAGCACTAAGAAGGTAGCATCAAGCAAAGTTAGTGTTTTAATGCCTTCACTTCCTGCTGGCTTTGCTGGCCAGTTTGGTAATATACCAATAGCTGAAAAGGAACAGTTATTCCATTACCTAACAACATTTGGATTAATTTTCTTTTATAGCCTGAAGATGAAAGAATGAGCTAACTAACCTTCTACAATTGAATATATTCATTTGTGTACAAGTGAGAAATGAAAACAGTTTGGACTAAGAAAAGAAAACCTATGAATTTACTCATCAAATCTGTAATTTCCAAAAATTAAAGAATGAAATGAAAAAAGAAATCTAAAAGAAGTCAAGGAGGTGACACTGCCATCTAGCAAGAGGTTTCAAATAAATAACTATGAAAGTACTCTATGAGCCTATGCGGCAGCTATTTTTTCATTTTATATTTCCAATAGATTTTAAGGCCTAAAGTCCTTCAGTTTTAAAGAGACAATGTATTTTTTTTGAGTAGTAACTTAAAACTGTTTTTGTATAGCCACCAGTTAATGTATAACCACATTGAGAAGGCATATGAGGGATGTTGAAAGGAAAGGAGTACAAATTAGAAAAAGATCTGAATACTGAATATCTTAAGAAATATAATCTAACTAGGTATTTTCAAGAATCAAAAATCCCAAATTGATTAACAAAGTATTCCACAGATGGAGTTCTTAAGGGGCGGCTCCTTAACAAATGAGAAAGGCTTAAAGTTAATATGTCTGAGTTCTTCTTTATGTTTTCATTGTACCTACGGCAGTCCCCGCTTACCCCCCGGTTTCACTTTTCATGGTTTCAGCTACCCACAGTCTGTGGCGATCTGGGAGCAGATGGTCCTCCATCTGATTTCCTCTCAGAAGGTCTGTAGCAGCCTAATGCTCCATCATAATGACTGAGTCATTCACCTCACTTTATCTCATCAAAGGCATTTTATCACCTCATATTATCACAAGAAGGGTGAGTAAAAGATATTTTGAGAGAGAGAGAGACCATATTCACATAAATTTTATTACAGTATAGTTGACCCTTAAACATCAGAGGGGTTACAGATAACAAGCACCCCACACCCCCACCCCACCACCATAGAAAATCCTTAACTACTAATAGCCTATTGTTGACTGGAAACCTTGCCAATAACATAAACTGCCAATTAACACATATTTTGCATACGTATTATGTATTGTATTCCTATAATAAAGTAAGCTAGAGAAAAGAAAATGTGTTTTCAAATTGTCACAGATCTCCAAGAAATGTTCCTATATATATGTCTTGAAAAAAATCCATGTTTAAGTGGACCCACACAGTTCAAACCCATGCTCTTCAGGGGTCAACTGAATATTGCTGTAATTGTTCTATTTTATTTTAGTCGTTAATCTCTTACTGTGCCTAATTTATAAATTAAACCTTATTATAGTTATGTACATATAGAAAAAAACATAGCATATACAAGATCTAGTAGTATCCACAGTTTCAGGTTTCCACAGTGGGTTTTGAAACATCAGATAAGGGAGGACTACTGTAAACACTGCAAACAGGTATTCCCAAAGTGCTTTTAAAATTATCAAATAATCATCCTCTAATCTTTTCTAATCAGTTTCCTTGACAAATTATTCTTTTTCATGTCTAATTAATATTCAATATAAGCCATGAAAATTACTAGATTACCACATAGAGAAATAAGTAAAACTTAACTAAATTTAAGATAGTTAAAAATACATTCAAAAACTATAAAATGATACGATTTTTCCAAGTTCCCCAGTTTTCCTTCATTTATTTAATACTAACCAGTAGCAACAATATATCTGATTCAAAATGCATGCAAAATCTGTGTATTTCATTTTAGAATAGCAAATATACCTGGTGATTATTTAAGTTTACAGGCCTATTATATTATGAAAATGAACAACTCCCAAGAAACCATATCTTGCTCAGATTAATACTGAGCAAAATTTACAGTTTCTCCTTCAGTAGGAGCTCCAAATCCTTGATTTATTTACCACACCCCACAAAATATAACTAAAACACAACAGACTTAGATTTAAAAAAACAAACATCTTCAGGTTAGGTAATAGGACATATTAAATACAAGAGTAGGCTGAAGAAGTAGGTCCACTTATAAACATCCCCCAAATCAGATTACTTTCAGGATGCAACTTCTTTGCCTGAAGTATCAAAACTTGTGAATTCAATATATTTACACTCAAAAACAAATAAACAAATAGATTTCCCTAAATAGAAGTTATTTTGAATCACTGAGGAAAGCTGGTATCTCTTTTGCTTCAGGAGTTAATATTATGAAAACTGTGGATTTGATAATGTATCATTTATATAGAAAAATTTAAAGGCACTTTCAAAATGAGATCATTAGTCCAACAAGAAAGAGCAGCCTTTTTGAGACTACTACTGAAGGAAGGACCTTATTTAATTCTATTTTAATAGACAGTATTCTTCTATGTGATGTTTCAAGAGGGGGGAAAAAAAATAAGTACTCCTCTGCAGGACTTGCATTTTAACCATTACAGAGTAAATTACAAACCAAAGCTAAGCAAATCAGCAATGTGGAAATGCCACAAAGAAACTCAAAACAGGTGTTATAAGGTTTATTAATCTACCAGTACATTAATAAAATCATTTTCACATTTTTCCATAAAGTCTCAAAGATTTTTCCTGAAAAGTTATATTCAAATCAGAAGCAATAAATCAAAATATTTTATACATAAATGCCGCTCTCAGAGAAATTCTACCAGAAATGTATAAACTAGACTATTTGCAATATGTTCTTAATACTAAATTATTAAATGAGTATACACTGCTTCTTAGTTTTAAGCATTTCTAATACCAAAGGAGGAAAGCTACGCTTGGTCATTTTTCAGCAATGAAACAGAAAATAACATGTTTCTTCAAAGACTGATTTCTTGTGATATAACTGATCTGACGCTGAACTTGCTAATTTATAGATTTACAGACTATTCATAAAATGAGCTATTCTATGCTAAATTGGGAGCATGATATAATATCTTTTCCTCATTCATCTTTTATCATTCATTCTTACTGGTTCTCAGGCACTTCTATAAAGGAAAAGAATCTCTCAAAATCTCTCCAAGTGTCCAGAACAGTCCCAGCTGGCATTAAGAAGAAAATCAAAGTACAACCTTAACAAAAGCAGTGTTTGTATATCCAGCCCCTAGAAAAGTGTGTGGCATCACTGAGGTAAGTAAATTCAGCAAATGTTTTACAAATAAATGAAGTTCACTAATCAGTAAACAAAAAAGTTAAAGGAGAATTTTGTCAATTGGCTAATATCTAAAGCAGACACTTAAAAGTTCAACTTTCTAATCCTAAAGGGACTAAAAACTAGCAAAGACCTACTTTCATAGCTCTTTCAGAGGTCAGCAGCTTCTAGGATTAATTTTTGTGTATGGTCTGTAGAACTTCAAAGGTATTATACTGAGGTGATATAAAATTTTAGCTAAATTATTAAACTGATGATGGATTCTCTAATGTACTTTTCCAGATTTAAAATCAGTAAGAAAACAAACCAGTTTGCCAAATATCCAATTTCAAATTTTCAATTTTAAAAAGTGAGGAACAAACAAAACCCAGCTTCCTTGGAATTAGTTAGCCAATGTATTATATTGACTCTGGAGGAAAATATTTCTAAACCACAAAAGAAATCCCTATTGTCAAATGGGATACACCTTAAAAACACCAAAATCAGAAAAAAGCCTGAAAACTTTAAGGAATTCATAGCATCATGAGGATACATGCTTAATCATGGAAAGCCATTTCCTAAAAAGGAAGAAAGT